TTACGTGGGTACGCAGTGGTTCGTCGCATCGATCACTTTGACAAATTTTTATAATTAATGACGATGTGTGAGAGAGATGCAGCAAAAGAAAACGATGTTTTAGAACAGTAATTGTAAAGCTTACGTGGGTACGCAGTGGCTTGTCGCATCCATCACTTTGACGAATTTTATAATTAATGACGATGAGTGACAGGGACGCAGCAAAAGAAAACTAGGCTTCACAACTGTTATTGCAAAGCTTACACTGAAGTGCCCAGATAATGTACAGATGAAAAAACTGTTAAATCTTCCCTCCAACTGATTATTTGATTGCTAGCTGATGAATTTTGTGCAGAAACTGATATCGGTATAAAATTATTGCGAAGAACAGCTAACTTATTAACTTAATGAGCGTCAATATTAGTACAGCTTCTTAGAGCTTTGACCACAGGCTGATTACAAACCAATCAAGGATAAGCGTAGAGATTTTATGAAGAAAAATCAAAAGAAGTATATATTATACAATAAATCGCCACTCAAATCTTTATCAGGACCCAATTTGATGAAATAAATAGAAAAAAAAACTTATAAAAACATAGGAGATGCATAGATATAGATTTGCCGTAAAGACTATAATTATTCGCGTAATTTGACACGAGACACTTGAATGATAGCAGAAAAGTGCTAGCGAAATGCCCTGTACCTGCAGGGTTACGGTCTTGCCATGCCACTGGACGAAGTGCTCTTATAAGGAGAGATGCATATATTGCACACGCCCATGTCAAATAGAATGAAAATAAAATAACATCTATCTTTAGGCATTCTTTTTTTTGTTGTCCTAACGTCAGATAAGGGCCAATGGTAAAATTGGTAGTAATCGTGAGCACAAAAAAATGGTTTTGTTTATTAGAAATGTTTTTCACTTTTATGCGATGCGGTGTTGCAGCTAAGCTGTGTGGCAACTTCTTACCAGAACAAACGTTTACTTCAAATGTAAGACAGTCGGATTAGATAAAGTTTGCGCCATTCCGACCGAATATGAACAGATTCGCCAAATAGAAAATATAGTCTGACTTGTACAGAAACGTTGCCAGATAGTAGCATTACACAGGGGTAGGGTGAAAGGGTGAAAATGATTGATCAATGTACGACGTTCGTTGGAACACTTGCGCCCAGGTTGGAGCAGTTGTTATGGTTGAAGCCAGACAGCAGCAAAGCAGAAATACACAGAAGACCCAGATCAACAAACTTTACTAGAATAGCCTAAACATTTGCAGAACGGAACGGACGGGTTACAAGGTGCGTTTGCGAGTGTAAAGATAGAAAATATGAGTAGATGGAAGTGCAATTTACGTTTGCCGAACAAGCCGATATCTACCATTGAAATCGTAGCAGGGCAAACAAAAAGTATTAATGCTCCTTTGCAATTGCTAGGCTTTCCAGAGATTCAAAGCATGGAAATGACATAAAAAAAGTTTTGTTTGCCAATTTTTTTATTAAAATATCTATTGTCCCTAAAAATAAATAAATAGGTGGTCGAAATATACATAATTTTAATGATCCGATTGTGGGATAGTTTCACCTGACAACGGGACTTCTTAATAAAAATTATAGAGCAAGCATAAATAATGGTTTGTATAACAAGTGAATACCGTACCTATATAAATAAAAATTACCTCGAATCAATTTCGAGAAGATTTCCGTTGACAACGGATATAATAAAACGGTCATTAAATCTCATCGACATTCCGTGAAAAGATTCTTAAACCATTATTTAAACAAAAACTTTTTCGACATTTAATAATTATAGACTTTTCAGATACGGTCTGAGTTGAAAAAAATTGTAATTAATGGAAGAAATTATGAAAAAGTCAAGCATGCAAAAAAAAAACATCAGCAGAATTAAATAACAATTAGGTTCATTTTCCCCTTTTTATTGCCCATGGTAGAGATTATGTGCTCCTCATTATGCCCTCAATTAAGAGCGATATTTAAAAAATAAAACACTTGCGTTCCACAGGGTCGTAACTATTTACGAGGAAATTTGAACATAGAATTGCGGTTCATTAGCCGTCCTGACGCAGCAAGCAACAATGAAGCAGGGATGCGGAAACGCTTTGAAGGAGCTATGTTTCATAACAGGAGTAAGTGATTACCACTTGGCAGCCAGGACTGCTGACATGCTGTGAAACACACCACCGCAATAAGCCCGACAGCGAACACTGTAAATTTGCAATTGAGTATCCATCATATCAGCTGACTGCCTACAGTAGATATCGTCATCAGCAAAGGTAACAGCCATTAAGCGTCACTGACGCGAGTTACCATGCAGGAGTGTGTAACCGTACAGCCATTAAGCGTCACTGACGCAAGTTACCATGCAGGAGTGTGTAACCGTACAGCCATTAAGCGTCACTGACGCAAGTTACCATGCTGGAGTGTGTAACCGTACAGCCATTAAGCGTCACTGACGCAAGTTACCATGCTGGAGTGTGTAACCGTAACAGAAAATTCCGCTCATCTGAGCTGAAAAACCATAACGTCAGCAAGTTTCAGCTTGGGAAAGCACCTCGGTCAATCGGTCCATTCATTCAGTTGACAAACAAATTTTCTTCCAACTGTAGAGTAGACGTACAAGGCAAACGCATATTATAATTGAACGATGTCGTTGATCCGCTGTACGTTCAATCTCACTTGCATTCAAGAGAAAACGTCATTTAAGATCTTGATTCATTTTTAATATTTTTGCAAGATAGCGGCACACTTGTCATGGCCAGCAGGTAGTCCACACCGACACCGCCAGTGACCCGTAAATTTTATAATGAATGCACTTGTATGAATCAAACGTACTTAGATTTTCCACAGAATTGATGAACATCGTATGTGCATATTAAGCCGCATACGCGCCTTAATGCACATCGACGGTTCGATGTCCATCAAAATAGTAGCCGAATAAAGCTACATAATTATTTTATTGGTTGAAAGCGTTCTTCTCAGGACAACGATTTTACTATAAAACAATACATTGCCAACTGAACAAATCGACGAGTAGTCGAACACGCGCAAAAAAATTATTTGTTAGAAAAAGAACTGATTTTGTCGGCAACTTCCAAGATTTGCCGGCATTTCGCGATCCATTTAATCGATAGCTCACGACGCTCTTCTACAGCCGTAGAAAAATGCATCAACCGCATCGTTTAGGCGAGCTATTAAGCCGGTTCATTGAACACGCAAAGTAAGAAGCACTTCAGTTATAAGATTACTTGCACAAAGAGAGTATATAAGCACTCGCATTCTATCCATGACCTCCACTTCGCACTGAATTAATGCATCAGTGATAACTCCATTAAGTTCATAGCTCTAAAATTTAAGTAGTGATGATGAATGAGGTCGTCACGGCATGGGCCAATGGTGAGGACTTATTGGAGTCGCTGACGTCGACATCAACAGAGCAATAAAGTAAAACACAACATTTGCTTATATACTCGAAAAATTCGGTTCACACGTGAGCGTAGTATATCTGTAGTATATATAACACTGTAGTTTATTTAATTGAATGACAGCATGCAGCAAGAGTTACAACTCTGACACATCCTCTTTCTCAACACGCAATCATCCCAAAATGAAAATTCAAGTAAGCTTAACACACATTTTTCACAGTGATGAAATGTGTTTCATCCTCCATGCACCGAACATTTCGAAATAATTTCTAATAGCTTGTTACAGTTATCTCAAGTTAGGATTCAACATTAAGTGGTCTTCATCAATTGGAAGGCTAAGGAGCTCTTCGCAGCTTTGAACAATCAGTATCAATTTTCAAAATCGAAGCCAATTCAATAATTATAGAAAAGTTAGACTAGACAAATACAGAATAGATGAAGAACCAGTTTAGTAGGTAGAATGAAGTGAAACTTTAGAGGAAGAAACGAACTGTGGTATTTCCATCACGCGATAAGTGTACGTATGATTGCATCAGAAGTGTCATTGTCCACTTATGTGATCTGAATGACTAAGATGGCTGACGCCGGTTGAAAGAGAAATTGGTGATTATTTTGATGCATTTGTGATTCATTGATAATCCATACAACCTCAGTTAAATGGTGTGAAATAAATACTTTCACTTTACGGAAATCATTGAACTAATCTTTGTGTAAAGGATTTAGTTTAAGTTTCGTCTGCGATCTGTTTTCATTATCATCGAAATATATGCTTTTAATACCGCGTTATTCCGATACAATGCATTGTACAACTGCTTCTAGCAATTTAAAAATAAGGGAGCATATTAATCCCTCTTATCGCTAATCTCGACAACAAAAAAATTATTTAGTGTTCGTTTAAATGGTATTTTCATTTCATGAATACGTATTAATTTTAATTCAATGAATATCAAAATAAATCATGCGATGTTACTTTCTCCGTCGATGTTAAGATAAAAGCGAGAGCTGAGTGATAAGTCTGAATAGATAGAAAATGAGAGCAAGTGCAAAGTGTCACACTTGTGTGCTCAGTAACGGCGTGCGCGCATGCATGTCAGGTGGGAAGGCAAGGCGATCCCTCTGGTCTTAGGCCTACTGGACTAGGGGATCAGATTCGGCCTAAGTGCACACAGACACATACAGTATATACATACGTACACAGCCCACGGGGGAGGGGGCAGATGGGTGCGGGAGTTGGGTGAGAGAACTAATACACGTGAATGCGAGGCAGATGGAGTTTGGTGTGAGCATTAGGAAATGAGCTCTAGACAGCTGAAGATAGTGGGAATTAAAAAATTAGCTGTGGGCAGCTGGAGCATGGTTAGAATAAATACTAAACAGCTGGAGTATAATAAGAAAATAGAAATGAGCGCGGGACAGCTCGAGGAAAAGTTGAAGTTACGAGTACTGTACTAAAGAAATATGTGTAAACACACATTTAGCACTTGTCAGCTGGGGTTGAAAATAATGAGGGGATAATGATACGAGTTACGACCTACGGAAAATTCATGAATATAATCAATGTTGTTAGAGAGGAAAACTTACCTTTGATTCGTAGAATCTTTGATAGGACAGACTGAGCTCGTCACAGCGGTACACCATCCTGCCGATCCCGATGCGTCATGCAGTACAGCGAAGACACGTTATAATGTAGTTGACGTTCTTGCAACTAAGTTTCAACTTAAGTAATTCATTAGCGGGCAACAAAGAGATTGGCAACGACTAACTGAATCACTCAGAGTGTGTGACAAAGATCGAATTATCAAGGAACAATCACACTCAATAATGGGCGTAAGTAGAAGGGCATATATTAGCTTTTGCATCAACACGGTCACATGCGAAAAGATGTCCGAAAAACTGCCTTCACTGTCACGATTCACGAAACAAAATACTGTTAAAAAACAAAGCGCTTAAATTCTTTGAACACCTAATCAAAGACTACGAGAGTAACTGTATGTATTTGCTCTTATTCGCGCTACTAAAAACCCTGTAACATAACATAATAATCATGAGCGATCATTAATAAATTCGGGCATAACAATTTTGATGTATATATATTGTCGGTAAAACGCGCAAAAGTCTTTATACGATGAATATTACCGACGACAGAATAATTACTAGCATATTGTAATGCAACACAGTAAAAGTATTATGAACAACCGAAGGGAAAACGTTTGTATTGAATGGAAATGGAAATCAGTCACCCCATTTCATTCTGTTTTAAGAAGAGTATAAGGCGCATAAATCGGGAACTGTCCGCCACATTGTATAAAAACCTCCATCCATTCATCTAAAATGAAAAGGTTATGGAATTTTTTTTTTTTTAAACAAAGGCCATGCAGATTTATCATACTTCTTGTCGCCATTTAGTTAGCTGCATATTTGATACACCGTGTTTCAAGTTCCGGACCGCGGTTTAATTGCGGACGATTCTAGTGTCAACTGCAAACGACATCTATATACGTAGTCAAAAATGATTAAGAACTAGTCGAATTTGGAGGTCAAAATGTAATAATTTCACCTTAAAATAAATTAATTAAACATTATACCTTACATTCGATTGTATATTTATTAATGATTTAACACAGTCTTGATAACTTTGATGCTTAGTTTACTATAGGGGTAATCACGTTAACGCTCTTCGTTCATAATACATTATTAGCTTTGAGGATAACTTTCTTTCAAGGAAAAAAGGTCCCTCAGCATCTTAAGTCAACAAGAATGCTCTCAAATTTAATATTAGTAGGTATTCAAGAAACCTGGAAATAATCAACGACGCGGCAAAGAGAATACAGTGCAAATGAATAACTCGCGTGCCTTGCAACTACCAAAAACGGTGGCGTACGAAAATCTACATATTCCACAATATAACACTGAAATTATCATTATTATTTTTTGTGTTCTCAAAACCTTCATTTTTCATCAAGGAATTCAAGTAATCAACGAAGCGACTCATAACCTTTAACAGGATCTATAATAATTAGTAAATGCACCGACCGTATCAATTTTATAGAAACGTTTCACACTCTGACTCCAGGATCGTACAACCAAGCAAGAACTGCAATTTATTTTGCTAGCAAAGCGAATGAATGCACCTTATACACGCTCATCTGGATTGTTCCGCTAAATGAAGCACATGTTTTATCTCCTCACCTAGCTGAGGTCTGAGCGCTGTTAAAATTCGGGATTCGCAACCGGAACGGCATCTTGCAGTGCCGGCGGAACAGCAAGTGTTCCGACAATTCTCGACCGGACGTTGTAACACGTAGCACGGAAATACTACCAACACCAACGACAACAAAGTGAATGAAAGCATAAATATACCAGTCCATTGACTGAATAGTAGTAGCAGTAGTAATAGTAGCAGTAGCAGTAGTAATAGTAGCAGTAGCAGTAGTAATAGTAGCAGTAGTAGTAGTAATAGTAGCAGTAGTAGTAGAGGGATGGTATATAACAGTTCTTTGAGAAACTCCGTTGATCTGTCATTAAATAACCAATAATGATAGAGTACTGGAAATTTTTCATGACTCGCTGCAGCATTCCACTAACCAAAGCAGACTCCTACAGTTTCTTCAAGCGATCTCATTGAAAATTACCTAGTGACGACTGAATCTAGATTCAGTAAAATACCGACTTAACACATTTTATCCATTCAGGAGTTAAAGATAATCATGCCAGATCATTTTTACAATGATCCAACCTGTGACATGTAAAAGTGAGACAATAAGGCAGAATATCACAAGTCATCGGCGGCGAGACAGCGCGAGTCAGCCAGGTTAAGCTATAGAGGAAGGGAGCCTTCGAGGTATAATAAGAAAGATCGATAAATGTACTGTGCGCCCGTGCTGCTCGGACAATATGTTAGGCCAGATGTGTGGAGGTACCAACACACGACACGCGCTAGTTTCACTCGTATGAGGCAGTGTAGGCAACTTGTAAACATTCAACGAGATTCAGCGCCGATTTTCTGCTAGGCGTCTTGAAATGAAAAGTTGGCCGTTCGGAAGAGAGCGTTGAAATTAGTTGGTACAGTTTTTTCTCAGTACTACGATATTATATACTGGTATTGTTTAGGTAGAGATGAGAGAATTTCAGAGAGACGAAACCACGAAATTTTACAATTGGACATTTCATGAGGCTCGTGGTTTGAAAGTAATTGAACTCGTCAAGAAATACAGATTTCAAGATCGACAGCATAAAACAATTAGTATAAATACATAAATATTCAACCTATGCTAAGAAGGGCGTTGTGAGGCTCACATACATCTTAGTAAGACGAGTGCATGCTTGAACTTAACGAACAAAAAATACGAGCGGCTTTCAAGCGAGTCAAGGCCAACAGGCGGCCTGGTAAGTCGGACGGTACAAGCAGCTGGATCACTGAACATACAAGAGAGCGCTCAAAAAAAAAAAAAAAACGAGGATAATTCTGAAGCAGCGGGCTTGACCTCATAAGGTCGTGCTTTAGAGTAACATAATTCCTTGATTCATTGAAATAGAGGTTTTCAGGTTTCGTACAGTTCGGCTAAATACTAATTTTCAGTTGGCTATAGATATAATTACACAAGGAATAAGATGAAAATTTATTGTCAATTGATTCTTTATGATTTTAATTTCACGGTAATCTTGGACGGAGCAGAAAATGGTAAATAAATCAGATGACAAAGCTTAGGAGGACAGAGCTGCCTGGAAGGGCAGTTCAGACATGCCGGACAGGCCTTGCGCAAGTTCAATAAGCTCGCAGTGGAATGTTCTAAAGAGTACACGAAGCAGAAAAATCTCCATCACAATGCAGTAGTCAAGATGTTGCATAATTAATGCTTGCAAAAAATAAGAGAGGAGGTCTGCAAGTAGGTCAGATTTAGGAGCAATGCCATCTTGATTACTATATAAATCTACAAAAAATGGGCTGTGTGGTTGCGCAGCTACGAGATCGTTGCACCACATAAAAAGATGACCTGAACTGGATGCCTTCAGTTAGACAGTTAACGGGACAAAATTCATTACAAATTTACCGTTTTCGTTTTTTGCATCGTCGGCTGATATATATCCATTTATTTTCGGAAAAAAATTAATTACATGAGGCAGAAGGACACATGTAGTCTCTTTATACACCATTGAGTTTACTGATATACAAAAAATGAGCCCATACTATAACAGAAACAGCGTCGATCAGGGGACCCCTATATATGGACAAAATCAGAAAACAATAAAAAAAACTTCTTTTCCTGCACAATCCGGCAACTGAAGGACGATTATATGAACTTTCTCAGAGCCAACGTCGCATGAGACGGTGAATATTACCAACCCGCAATCCTCGATATCAAGAGAGTTTAGGGGGGAATGTAACAGACCCTGAATCGAATCTCAAAGGTTTGCATTCCAGGTGAGTCCTGCGCTAGGATACCTGTTATGGGAACTCACAAAAACATGCATAAATTGGTATTTTCACACATATTAAATGGACCAATGTGTGCACAAAATTATCTTGCACATCACGCACCTCTGCGCGGGTCAGGACTGGTAGGGTAAGTTCCATTTAGTGTACTACTCTCTTCGTGATGCATTCTGCTCCGTAGAGACAGCAAGAGATCGGAAATGCCAAGCGCCTCTTTCGCAGCAGCCCTTATATATATGGGCAAGCGCGGGGTTTATTATTATTCTACGAAGCATTTATCGTGGCGTCTGGTTCAAACGAACCTCGAAGACATGTTACACATAAGTTTAATAGCAAGCCAATAAGGAGACCGGATAAAAATGACCAAGCACTTGATTCATAGACTCAACGAAATAGCGCCGTCTTTAGGCTTAGAGGGAACTTCTGCAACGAAAGACCAGCCACATTCAGACTCAAACCAAGATGGCAGATCGGTTTCGCAACGGTTATGGCCTCTATTGTCAGATTTAATAGCACGGCATTTAACGTCGGTAGATTCTCAAAGCGTATAAGTCCTCTTAGTCAAAAGAACTTGCTTATGAACATTTGTGACGTAGTTTTCAAACACGTTTGCTTCAAAGCACCTGCCCAAAGTCTTCTCTCTGACTCTGATTAAGTTCTATTTTGAGATATTCTTTCCAACGACAATTGCTGAATATATTAGAAATTGACGTAACATATTACAGGGAATACTACAGAACCGAACATTTAGTTTGGCATTTTTTTTTCGTGGTTACACGATTTTCATAGCAGTATGGACAAACTTCCCGAGCCATTGATAATAACGCGTAATGATTAAAACATGGTCAAAACATGGACGCATTTCACTTTTCGAAACTACCTCCACCTTAAAATTTAGGAATAAAAGCCTCAAAGAGTCCTCTTGAAAGCATGTCCCATTGAACGCCAAAAAGCCTACAGCTCGTGCCCGCTAAAAATCACCGGCAATGATCCTCCAAGAGTCTAAGTGTCGAGAAAGCGGTAAATTAGAGCCCTAAACGAAGCTGAGCGGAAGACGAAGTCAAGCTAGGCTGCTGGAACAAGTAGCGCCTGAACGATGTAGTGATGAGAGAAACTTCAAGGGATGTTGCGAAGGATCGCTGGTCTAGAGATCTGCTAGTTGAAGAGTCGCAATGCAAGCATGACAAAACAAACTCTTGGATCCTATAGTACTTCACTTTTCTAATGTTTTGTAGAATAGAAAAAGAAGTGGATTGAGAGCCAGAAGAGTGAATCGAATGTATGATCCACAAAATATAATCACTAAAGTGAAAATACAAAAATTGTTGGCCAAAGGTAAATTAAGGGGCGATCTTGAATTTTTCCCTTCGTGTTGGGTATTGCAAAGCACCAAACGGCACTTGAAAAAGTGTTAAAAACAATAATTAAATAGGTTCTGAATCAATGTCTCTTAAATACTCGACGTGAACGAAACCAGTTCAACGATTTCACGGTATTCAAGCATGCAGCTTCAACATTAATTCCCAACAGACAACAAACGCATATACATCTTGTCACGCACGCTAAAAAATAGAACAAGAACAGCTGGC